ACAGACTTGGAGCACAACAAGCGCACACCTGAAAAATATTGTTCCTTTAAATACATTAGGGTATCAAAGATATTAAAAAGAAATCAAAAGGCACATAATTTTATGATCAAGAGCCCCAGGTATGCCAAAACAGCATTTAATGACCCAAATCACATGAACTTTACCTGATTTTGTCCCTAACTTTATGCCACCTCCCATTCCTCTGCTTTCCCCATGCCCTGATTCACCCACTGCCCCTTCCCTATAACCATGGCTGCACTTCTCTCCCATCTCCTCTCACCTGGACTGTGAGGGCGCCACCTCTCACCATCCCTCCGTGACCCAGCCAGTCGCCAGCCTCCATCATCATCTTCCCCATTTTGTTCCTCCCTGAAGATGCGCCAGTTCTCGCTCTCAGAGCGTATAAACTCATGCTTCCTTCCCGTTGTTGCTGTCCCACCTTCCTCAAAGTTTGGTCTCACTGAAAAGAAAGCACATGCCAGTGAACATGCATACCATCTTTAGGAACCTAGAAACAAAAGGGTTGAAATCTTGCTCCCTTAGAGGCAAAAATGCACCACATGTAAGTGGTCATAGGAACCTAGGAGAGGAAGGGAAGCTCATGGAAGGACACACATTGAAGAACAAACATTGAAGAAATCCCTCCACACCCCTACAGACCTTAGGATGGAAAGACTGAGGAAAAACAGAAGAAAGAAAAGCATGCAGGAAATTATGACATGGATAGGAAAGACAGAGTGTGGAAAAAAAGACAACAGTTTAAGAGACATAGGGAAGCACAAACGAAGCTGAAGTGTGCCAAAAAAATAAACTGCTGTATCACAAGAAGTCTCACACTAAAGAAAAATGGGAATAAAATAAACTGTAAACATTACACACATTTTATATAAACCAAACCTATTTGCTACTTCTGTAATAAACAGAACATATGATCTATATCTTTAATCCAATACGATGTACGTTGTTCTTGCATTGTTTTAGGAAGGACTGAAAATTAAAAGTAGGATTGGGATTAAACAAGAAAAACGTAAAAGTGTTAACACTACCATGTGAATCCATCTTCTAGAGCGCCAAGGTCAGCATATTAGGAGTTAGAAGCAACTATGCTCAAGTACAAGACTACCAGAAGTTTAGGAGAAGGTATAGTTTTTTTAGTTCCTAATTTACATTACATTTAAAACATAGAAAATCCTCAAGTCCTTAATGAGGAGCAGCAGTGAAGAGCAACCACATTGAGTTTTCCCATGCTTCACAGAAAGTAAAGGCTACAAGCTCAACAAAATCTAAGTCTGGGAAATATAGGGGGTTTTCATTTTATATCTCTGAAAAGCATCATGTAGAAGAACGTAACTGGAAGCACTGGGAAGCCTCTCTATATTGCTCCTTGGATGGGCTTCACAGAGTAGAAAACTAGGAGACAAAGGCTACAGAGCCAAGCCAGCTGAAAGTAAAACAGAGATAGTAGCCCAGGAGAGAGCTGCAGTCCAACAGACCAGATGAGCCTAAGATCCATATGATAAGGAATATGCCTTGTTCTTTCTCAAATTTTAAAATGCTACAAGAAAAGGTAAATATTTTTTAAATTCTGCAGCACAATGCACTCATTTTACCTTAGTAAATTAGTTACCGACAGGGAAAAAAAAAGCTATGATTTGCTATTTTGAGACTAGAAAAATGTTTTTAGAGTTATAGCTATTCTTTGCATCAAAATTCACAGGTATTACCTGACGTTCATCATTAATGTTAATTCAACATATTTTAGACACTACCAATTAAGAAAAAGATATGCTATTTCTTCTATCATTATTAAATTCAGTTAAGATTCTGGAGACTTTTTAACACTGACAAGCTATCAGCTCAATGGCTCTGTTCTGCTCTTCCATAAGCATTCAGAGAAAACAAGCTACGTAACGAATACTGTGAAGTCTACTTCGCCACTGAATACCTGTACGTTCCTAGCCTCTCTGCAGATATATACATGCTATAGGCATACCCAAGGCAACTCAGGTTTTTTTTAGTCCTTATGACAGCTGGGTTTGTTCCTAAGAACTGAACTATCAGTCAGGTTTTGTATTCTGAACTTGCAGAAAATGGCATCCCCATTTGCTGCTGTGGGATTTGAAACATCTCTACAGAGGTGACACCTGTGATTCTGAAACCTTTCTAAACACAGCAGCACTCCAGTATGTCTCATGACTGTTCTGATGCCACACTTCAGTGGAAATAAGAGAAATCTTAACATACTTAAGCTTTCTGGTATTAGGACACTATAGCAAGCAATATTCAGACAGCAAGGTATGTGTCAAAACAGATATGACATTAGATGATCTTGCACATTAGACAGATCAGCCAAGAAACTAGTTCTTTACAAATACAAATTGGTCACAGGTGAAGGATCAGAAAAATTAAGCTACCCAAGTGACTCTATGATAAAACTCTATACAGGAATACTCCTACAGTTTACATCTAAATTCATAACTTGCAAAGCCCTAGCATATTGTCTTTGCAAACTGTTCTAGACTTGAGAACACTCAGCTGAAATGACTTAGGTCAGAGTCAGTATTTGGCAATGCTCCGAGGATGAAAAAAATAAAAAATGCAATTGATGGTTTTGCCTTGGACTAATTGACTGGACTTCCTGAAGAGAAGGAGCAGGAAAAGGGCACCTCTGTTCAAGTCTGTCACAAAGCCAGCAATGGTGTTTACAGAACACTTCAGATAGAGCCTAGTGGTATCCAGCCAAAAAAGCCTACAGCTGTGCAACGCCGAGTTGAAGGGAAACCAACTGCAAAGATCAAGACTGGGATTCTGGGACATAGCCCCGTGGCAACACGTTTGTGAAGAGGACTTACTAACAGAATGGCAAATAACTTCTGTTCTCCATGCTGTCAGTCTATGTTTCCTATGATACGCTCACTGTTTGGAGAGAATAAACAGGAAAGCGATGATTGCCAGCAATACTGTTTCCTCTAAAGAGGGCAAAAACTAGAGTCTAAGTGCTTTGACTTGCTTTCTTCTGTCTGGTGTATGCTACATACTTCCTCAAAAAGAGGATAAGCAGAAAAAACCTTTGCAGCTAGCGTTTTTAAAGGAATTCAAATAATTTTGCCTAGGTGTGCAATTTTGTAGCTCATTTTACAGAAGAGCAAAACAAATAGCCTTAAGATGATGTTTCTAAAGGAGGACTACCTTCTCATTAGGACAGTATTTGACAGGCTAAGGGACACTATTGGAATACATAGTGAAGTGACTCACTTGTAACCAAAGCCAGTGACAGATCAGAAGTCCTGGTGCTCATTTCTAGCTTCACATTTTGTCTCTCCATAAAAATCTCAATCTCAACAGTAGCTGTCTCAAAGACATACTATGCAAGTATCACGCTGTATTTTTTCACTAAACTGATCATTACCCACTGTCATGAGTATGGGTGAACCAGTAAATTCAAAGGCATTAACAAGAGAGTTTAATTCCATAACACGTACCTGGAAATTACATACTGTAGCTATTTCATCTGTTGTATGACAGTGTTAGATTTTTCAATCCATTCAGTTGAATGAGATGAGCAAACCTGTGACTGGACACCACATGCTTTCTACAGTATAAAATATGGTTTCTAAGAAAATACAGCTTGAAGAAAAAAAATCCTACTTGTGAATAAAAGAGGCTGTCTGTAGTGGAAGTTCAACTTTGCCAGAGTATAGAGAGAAGGGTGAAGGGCAAGTCACATCGTCCCACAGGCTTGCCACGGTGGTGGGAGTTCCCTTGCACTGCATTATTTGCCCTGGTTCTGAAGGTCACACTATGCCTATGACAATTTTCGGTGCTGTGCCTGAACATGTATTAGAAGGTTGCATACTAACGAAGCAAAGAATTAATGTTTTGCAATTTAGGGTTGGGGGAAGGTAAAAAAAAAAAAAAGAAACAAAAAAGCCCACTAAAATGAGGGCGGATTTTGATCCTAAGCAGGAAAGTCTACATTAATAATTTTCCCAGCAGGCCTTCAGTAGTTTTACTGCAAACAACCACAGCCTTTGTTTCTCAGATCCTCTTACATCTAACATTCGATCAAAGCCCTCACATCAGCAGCTCACCAAGGGAAAAAAAAAAAAGTGTGAAATACTACTGCATTACAAAGCTGTCCTCAGAGTTTGGTTTAGTAGTTTAGTAGTGCAGCATGCTGACCGCTCTGAACAGACATTCAGCTAAAATATCTTCCTTAACTAACCCTTCTCATTTGCTAAGCAGGAGAGAAAAAAAAGCTTAAGTGAAAGTGGTTTCATTTACTGCAAGGAATCAGCAACCCACCTAGTCTGCATTGTTACATTCCTAGGCTTTAGCAGAACCCTGTGATTAATTCCACGTTTTCACAAAAGAGCAATGTGCAGACGGAAGAGAAGTGGCCAGATCTACATCTTCTGACCAGCATTAAGCTACAGTTCAGCAACACCCTCCAGAGCCCACAGGCTGTACCATTAGCTACAGCCCACCTTGCTGTTAACACCAACACTCCGGAGCTGGGGACCTAATGAGAAGAGGAAGAAGTGGCACTAGACAAGCAACAGTGAGACACAAGAGTTTTTCTTTTCACCTAAACAAACAGTAGTTGACACTGGTCAGGGAGAGACTATCCAAGAACAGTGTTTTTCAGCAGCAATATGGTAACTTTTTCTATTCAGCTTCTCCAGAGGAATTTTGGCCTCTTCAACTGTCGTATAAAACTTTAAGATTATACAAACCTAAAAAATTATCTTGATTAAGGAGGTGAGGGGGAAGGCACCCCTTCTCCAAGTAAGTGTTTGAGGATTTCTCCTTGGCCGCTAAGGGTTTGTGTTGGGTAAAGAAATGCTCCTAACAAACCAGCATTCTTTTCCACATGATCAGAGCTAACCAGCCTCCCTGCAGGCAAAATGACCAATCAAATCAGCTTCAGATGAA